AGGGTGGATGGAAGTAGGGATCACATTTAAAAAAGACAAGTATATTTATAATTTTTACACAAGTTCCAAGAGTTTTCTCCAAGTATCCGCTACTGTTGATTGGTTAAGAAATAGCTAATCAGCGTACCCCAACATAGTCCTGCAAGCAACATGCTTTACTCCAATATATATCTCGCTAACAAAAATACATAATTGAATAAAGCATACTGATTATTAATGGAAAGGGATTGTGGAAGCTAATTGGTTTCATAATACACATCATCAATTAGGCTTAGTCAGGAAACCGTAGAAAACCAGGAACACTGGAAATCCACAAACATTCGACGTTTAGAAAAATTTAGCTACGATATGCAAGAAAAAGCTGAAGAAATTTCGAAAATTCTTCTAATCCATTACGTATTTATGAGTAACTTTCTAATAAGATGGTCAATACCATTATAGTTGGTTAAATGAGAAGTTAATATCTTTAATGTCTCATTTAATGATAATTAAATTAAACTTGAAAAATTTAACATAAAATATGTAAAATATCATAAGATTCAACAATTAGGAACTACAACAAACTATGCTGTGAACATCATTCGTACTAGAGTACCCAGAGGTTTAATACAGCCTTTCTTTGAGATACTGTAAAACTCAACCAATTCAAGATAACTCTGAACAAAAGGTTAGAAGCCTTACAAGATCTACTCAATGAAGAAAAAACTACTACGGAGGACAACTGGAATGGGATCAAAGAAGCATTAACTTCAACGTGTCAAGAGGTTCTGGACCGCAAGAAGCATCATCATAAGGTATGGATCTCTATGAAATCCTGACCAAGATTTAAGAAAGGATGAACACGAAGACAGCAATTAACAACAGCCGAATACAAACAGAGAAAGTCCAAGCATAAGCTGAGTACACAGAAGCAAACAAGCAAGTGAAGAGTAGCATTAAATCCGATAAGCAGAAATGTGTGGAAGAGCTAGCAACGACAGCGTAAAAAGCTGCAAGAGAAGGACATATGAAACAGCTATATGTCACGACGAAGAAACTAGCGGGGAAATGTAGTAAACAAGAGAGACCGGTCAAGGACGAAGAAAGAAAGCCAATCACTGAGATTCAAGAACAGTGGAACAGATGGGCAGAAAACTTCAAGGAAATCTTAAACAGACTAGCTCCATTGAATCCAAAGGACATCGACACAACACACATAGACCTTCCTGTAGCTGTCACTCCAACAAAGATCGAAGAAATCAGGATGGTCATCTGACAAACCAAGCGTTGGAATGCAGCACAAACTGACAAAATACCAGCTGCGGCACTGAAGTCAAACATGGAAGTAATAGTAAACAAGCTTTACGTCCAGAAAGATTTGGGAAGAAGAACAAGCGACAGCAGATCGGAAAGAAGGATACCTCATTAAGATACCTAAGAAGGCAGTTTAGAGCAAGTGTGAGAACCGTAGAGGCATCACACTACTATCAGTACCAGGAAGAGTGTTCAACAGAGTGCTACTGAACCAGATGAAAAACTCAGCAGACGCTCACCTTAGAGATCATCTGGTCGAATTCCGTAAGGCCGGTTGTACACAGACCAAATGGCGACACTGTGAACCATTATTGAGCAGTCAACTGAATGAGATTCATCACTTCATAATGGACGAAAACAAAGGTAAGAATAGCCAAATGAATATTAGCACAAAATCACGGAATCTCTTGGGAAGATACTTTTGCGAAATTTCATCATTTGTCCTTCACATTCTGTACGCTTCTTCCAAGTCACAATTCCTCTCTATTTCTGTTCCTGTTTTTTCTTCAATTTGATCTTCTTTGACTTCTACTGCTAAGATTTCCGCTTCCGATTGGTGTTACATACTACTTGTATTTGTCGACATTGGTAGCATATTCCGCAACTATACATCAGTTTCTTTGACTATGAGAAGGCATGCAACAGCATGGATAGAAGAATTTTGTGGAATCTTCTCCGACATTATGGTTTACCTGAAAAAAATCATCAACATCATCCGGAATTCATACGATGGACTACACTGCAAAGTCGTGAATGAAGGACAGTTGACAGTTACTTCCCAAGCGAGGACCGGTATCAGACATGGTTGCTAACTTTCTCCCTTTCTTTCTCTTCTAGTGGTTGAGTGGATTGAAAAGACCTACACATCTGAGGGCAAGCACGGACTACAATAGACACATTGGATGCAACTAGATGATTTAGACTTCTCAAATGACCTAAACAAATGTCAGCCAAGACAAACAGTGTGGCAGCAGCCTCTGCATCAGGTGGCCTCAACATACACAAGGGAAAAACTAGGATCCTGAAATAAAACACCAAGAACTGCAACCCAGTAACACTTGATGGAGAAACTTTACAAGAGATGGAAGGTTTCACGTACTTGAACACCATCATCGATGAACATGGAGTATCCGACGCAGACATAAAAGCGAGGATTGGCAAAGCAAGAACAGCATTCCCACAATTGAAGAACATATGGGACTCAAACAACTGTCTGCATGCCAAAATTAAAGTCAGAATCTTCAGTACAACCGTCAAGACAGTTCTACTGCAAGGAGCTCAAACTTGGAGAACTACTACAACCATCATCAAAGATGTACAACCATTTATAAACAATTGTCTACGCAAGATACTCAATGTCCACTGGCCGGATACCATCCGTAACTACCTACTGTGGGAGGGAACAAACTAGCTTCCAGCTCAAAAGGCAGTTAAGTAAACATATTGAAAGCGGATAGAACATACATTACGGAACTCATCGAACTGTATCACGAGGTAAACCCTAACTTGGAATCCTGAAGGGAAACAGAGAAGAGGGAGACCAAAGAACATACAGCGCCAGGAATAGGAAGCAGACATGAAAAAAACGGATAGCAGTTGAAAACAACTAGAAAATATTCCACAGGACAGCGTTGGATGAAGAATACTGGTGGGTAGCCTATGCTCCCCCATGAGCGGTAATAGGCGTAATTAAGTAAGTAAGAGACCTAAGGTGTCAACTCGACACAGATGGATTGTTGGCATTATTATTATTATTATTATTATTATTATTATTATTATTATTATTATTATTATTAGTAGTAGTAGTAGTAGTAGTAGTAGTACTGATGTTTTGTATGGAACATAAGAAATGCTAATAAGTCTGAATTTTTTTCAATACGTTGATATCAATACATCGAAGGAAAACCTAGTTATAAAATCAATAAATGTTACTTGGTTTAAATTCATTAGTCCGTTAGGTGACCAAATTGATTACTGAAATACATCTACATTCTTGTAAATGGGGTGTGAGGATATTACTAAGAAATTTCTAAAATAGAGTAAATGAATCATCAATACATTCTCGGCTTATTTTTAACGATTAATTTTGGTTAAAGTTACTACTAACTGTTTGATGTAGACATGTTCAGTGTAAGGCAACCGAACATTCCAGATGGCAAACACAAATACGGTAAACGATGATACTTAAAATAAGATGTTTAGAGGAAATCAAACTCTAATTTGCAGTATTTAGCTATTAAGTAGACGGAAATACGACCGAAATTGCTGGGTACAACTCTTAATGAACACGAAAATGTTGTAGTTCACGTCGGTCAGCACATTGATTTATTTTCGTCATAAATGACATTATCAATTAAATCCAGTCCTACAGTAATACAAATATTTCATTAATATTGCACTAAGTTGTATTGATTTTATGATTGTTTAGCTTTTAATGTTAATCATAGTTGACCAATCATTTTTGTGATATAGTCACATCTTCAAATGACTGGATATAACTTTGCACTTCTTTTGTTGCATATTATTCATAGACGATTGGACGAAACCAACTAACTTAGACCTGTATTTTGATAATACTTAGGGAAAATGTGTTAAGAGGCAAACTCATTCTTCTCCATAAATTAAAAATCATACCTTTTGAAGGCCCAGTAGAAATTGACAAATCTCGGCGTTAACAACCTTGACTACACTATTGGGTAATGCGCTATGCGATCTATTAGGGAGGATGACTTTCCTTTGGTTCTTTTCAAATGCGGCTTACTGATAAATGTCAATAAACATGAGGCATTTGTTCAAAGTCAAATATAAATGTCCAAATTAGATTTCCATTGAATGATATATTAAATAATATTACAAATAATTTCATATTCTTAAATGTTTGTTTCATTGAAATGTTACATAACAGTTAGTTCTCAGAACATTCATTCCAATAAAAGTTGTTTTACATATTTTATTTTAACACAGATATTGGTACAAGGAGGCACCAAATACATATACGCCACACAAATCTCATTTGATATGTGTGAGGGTTGTGATACTGCCCAGGTACCCAAACCAAAGTCGGTGGTTTTCTTAGGGGGCCACACACGGAGCCTTCGACCTAAAGGTCTGATCCACAAGGCAGTGAAGCATCGTAAGGAGATGCAATCCCATGGTAGCTGATGACCAACGATTGATTCATACGACATTTGTTCCCTCAGGGTACTAGAGCTTATGTGCACCATTGGTTTGTAATCAGGGTTTTGCAACTGTCCTAGGTGGACTCTCCGTGTCCACCAACCCGGTTAAAGTGCCGGACATTCGCTTTTCGTCCTCTCAATTTCGTAAACAACAGTAATGCCATGAGAAGGCAGTGAGTAGGACTTCCCTGGTGGAGGCTATATACGCGTGGCCATGTGAGAGCATTTCGAGAGGGAGAGCGAACTTTCCCCACTCTCGGCTGTACCAGGGCACTCGGGGGCTGTTTAACATAGGATTATTAAGCTAAACATTGTAAATATCTTTCAAAATTATTAATGATAACCGAGTACAAAACATAAACTAAAAAATAAACTTCTCGCCTCAAGTCATTATGAGGTAATTAAAATACAATGTTTTATCTTCTCAGAATCCAACCTGATATAGATAGTTTATAGTTTAAATTAACAGTGTATTTGAAAAACTGTTTATATGGTGTACAGTAACACTTTTCATTTTATAATACTTACTTTACATATTGTAAGTTGTAAGTGATAATCACTACCACCTTGAACACGAAAACCCCATGGTGAATCATTAGATGCACGTCTTAATACAATATTAACTGGTGTTGTCTCTTCTAATTTTCTTATATGATTATTTCCAGGAACACTAAAACTATTTCTATTACCAATTCCTCCTCCAATTCCACTTGTTGTATTATTTCCAGTAAATAAATCTAAAGCATTTGACAATGTTACATGTTGTTTACATGAATGTGTTGGATTATTCATTTGATTATTAGTATGTTTTGTATTTGTATTCATTTTAGATAATGATGAATGTCCCGGTTGTTGACTAGCTACTGAACTAAAATATAAATTCATTTTGTTGTTTATTATTTTCTCTTTAAAATGTAAATATAAATGCAAGAAATACAATTTGTTTAAATGGTACTTTACAGAACTGATTTTTCGAATTGAATCAAAATAGTTTTTCTTTACTATTTATATAGGAGGAGAAAAAATAATCAATTTTCAATAGTGACCTGAAACTACATTTAAACAAACGTTTCATATTCAATATTTTATAAATAGATACATACATTTAACTAATATACATAGATTTAGTGAATATTTCCTTTAAGGGAAATAAACAGATTGACCAATCTGTGTTTTGTATTGTTTCCTATTGGCTTATTTATAAAAAGTTGTGCTTTTACAATTGGATGAATTGTGTGTAGATGACAAACACAGATAACGTAAATGGTTATAGATCAATCTAAAGTGGACAAACTATAAAGTATTTTCAATGGTTAAGATCATGAGTCAGTTGAAGCTAGACCACCATTTAAAACCTGGATGCACTGGACGGCCACTTCATGCTTCCAAGTTTCCCATGGTGGTCTAGCTTCAACTGACTCATGATCTTAACCATTGAAATTACTATAATATCCACAAAACCCATCTGATATAAAGTATTTATTTGAGATAATGAGACATTTTTAGGATAATTCATTCTGAATAGAGATATAATATAAAAGACGACATAATTTAACGAAGAGAATACTTTAGGGTATTATCAGAAGAGTTAAACGGTATTCTATTCAAAAGAACATGTGATTTTCACAATATCATGGAGGATATGAGATATGATAACCTCTAATTACAATAAGCAAAGCATTACTAATATAGTTTTACATGCGACGGATTTAAAAGTTGGCATAAAATTGACTGTAGTACTGGTACAATTTATTATGTAAACTTTGCATCCAGATCTGATCAATTGAGATCGATTTCGATGGTTGGTGGTACTTGGTTCTCCATTCTTGATCACTTTTTGTACTACCCCTCTTTACGAATCCCAAATAAAGTAAACTTTCGAGTAATTGTACATGTAATTATTAATTGATATAAAGCATACTTTCACTTATACATCACAGAAACGTCTTCCAATATCCCTTGTCTTTGACAAATTATGAAGTCAAATAAGTCAATCCAATAATGATTTGAAGAAATAATATATTAGTTGAAGCGCTTAAAGAAAATGATGAATTCTGTCAGTTGTATCCTGGACTGATTTTAGTAGACAACCACGGAAAATCAGGAAGCAGTGGACATTAGTTTCGTCCTAATATGGGACTTCCCATCTGTGAGCATCCACGGACGTAACGTGAGCTAGACCTAGGACCTTCGAACCTCGTGGCGAACCCTTAACTTTCGGTTTACTGAGTTGATATCTAATGGTTCACACATTAAATTTCAGTCAATTCGCGATATTATACCGTCAGTATTCAACCCTATCGATGGATAATTACCATACCCTTGAGATAGTTGAACTCCAGAAATAGGCTATGGATATTAATCACTACTGATCATATAATTATAGTATTGAGGGTTTGTATAAATCAAATTTAGATTGCACAAATTTTATTTGGTTAATTTATTTTATTTCAGTTATTTATTGTCTCATTCTTGTTTTGAAAGTAATCCTGAACACGAAGAGACAACGACTGAAGGGTTATTCTTAACTAAGATGAATAAAATAGTAGTTTTATCTTTATTTAGGAACACTAATTATCTGTTCCTGCCTGTGTCCAGAAAGCAAAATTTTTAGGTTTCTCGATGAACATGAATTTATTGAATCGGAACTTTATTCATTTCGTTATACACTATGATTATCATCAAACTGGTGTAGTGAGTTCCTGTTTTACTGTTATGCGATCACACTGAAACTTTAAAAAACTATCCATATATTAGAATCTAGTGGGTCTCCACTTAATATTTACCGATAGTTTCGTGAAAACCTTGTACTATCTAATTTCAATTTTCATCGTAAATCCGTTTGTTCTATCCAGGTTCAATACACGTTCTGTTTGAAGAGCAGATAGTAATTTTCATGGTCTGTTAATTTCATCATCAATTTATTTAAAGTTGATACGTTTTCTGCATCGAGTCATAGACTATCAGAATTCTTTAAGAGAATATAAAGTACCAACATCTATTTTAATGTTTAAGGTTTGATAAAATCTTTATAGTGTTTTCACTGAAAGCCTATATTTGCGAAAAGTGGAGAAATATCATGCCTTATGGAGAAATTTCATATGGTTGGTAAAATTACTTACATTGTATCATAAATCTAATATGTTTAGAAACAAAATCAATCATATACAAAATATTCATCAATAATGTCCTGTAACATCAGTTGTCTGTAATCGTCAAATACTCGTTAATACTTAATTTATCTGTCCAACATTGTCTCAACGTTGTTAGTGTAGGTTTTACAACGTACATAAAAAAATGCATATGGTGGATTGAAAAAATATTAGTCATAACCAATATATTAATGCAATTGTATTGTGGTGCGTGCCACTTATAATGATATAAGTAGTATATGACGTGAGTCAGGGATGTAACGTCTGACAGCAGAAGATGGGGAAGATCAAGAAAGGAAGAGAGGGAATAGAAAGCAATTAGTATAGAAATGCAAGAACAATGAAGTTCGAGACAATTATTGAACATTTTGCAAATTAAGTATTATAGTATGGTTTTTCTATTTTACCAAGTAATTCTGTAATTTTGTGCTAGACATAACTCGGTTGTCCTCACCTGTGTTCTCCTTCACTACAGTATTTCATTAGCAGAGTATCAGTAATTCAATGAAAAAGAAAATATCACTCAATGTCTCCATGTCAATCGAAATTTGATATTAAATCTCCTTCTTGATAGATTTTTCAACAGAACTGTTTTATGATCAAAATGAGTGTGTATCTTACTTTTCAATTTATGTAATAGTTACTAATATTGACTAACACGTGATATTTTCATGAAATAGTAATTTTCTTTAAGTAATCTAACAATAGACACATTACAACTGAATAATTTACATACTTGTCAATCATTAAATTTATTTCACAAGTTGAAATCATGAGCCAATTGAAGCTAGACCACCATTGAAAACCTGGAAGCACTGGACGGCCGTTTCGTCCTAGTATGAGACTCCTCAGCAGCGCGCATCCACGAACCCGCCCCCCACGGGATTCGAACCCAGGACCTACTGGCTCCGCGCGCGAGCACTTAACCATTAGACCACTGAGCTGGCTGGCATCCAACGGTGTTAATGTCTAACTTCAACCAATCCACGAAGTTGCGCCACCGTACACCATTGTCTTCAGTGAGTTCCTATCTCACAACAGACCTGGTTCAACTCCACTGGTAACGACTTCTCACTAGAACTCCAGGAGTGTCTCCTGAAGTCAGTCACTAGTGAGCAGGTGATTATTATTATCAGAATGGGCTCTGTGGAGATTTTTAGAAATTTCACAAGTTGAAATCATGAGCCAATTGAAGCTAGACCACCATGGAAAACCTGGAAGCACTGGACGGCCGTTTCGTCCTAGTATGGGACTCCTCAGCAGTGCGCATCCACGAACCCGCCCCCCGCCGTCCAGTGCTTCCAGGTTTTCCATGGTGGTCTAGCTTCAATTGGCTCATGATTTCAACATGTAAAATTTCTAAAAATCTCCACAAAACCCATTCTGATAACATTAAATTTATGTTAATTATGTAAATAATAACTTAGTTACCTTGAAAATTATCCTGCGGAAAGATAATTTTTACTAACCTTAACATTTTATAGATTTACCAATAAACATACTTGTTTATTCAGTCATTTTCTCTGTCTGTCAATTATCTTATTGTTTATTCTATACTATACTGTTTAAGAAGTTTTGTTGACAGTCAGAATTAGTTGAAATATTATTATTATGTATCAAGAGGTGCTATAGTGGTTCAGTCAATCATAATCAAAATAGAAACCAGAACAAATGTATTTTAACCCAAGTTGCCAAATCACCTAAATACAACGAAATTAATAAGATGAATAAAAAAATGTCAAGATAATTGTAGTGGCAGTAACAATGAGAAATATACTTTGAAAAGACAGAGCGAAAAAGTATGTGTGAAGAAATACTGGAATTCAAACTTGAAGAGAGGACAAAGAATGAATACAACTACATAACTAAGATCAATTTTTAACTATGTCAACTAACATACCTAACCACTGATCATGGTTACACATTCGAGTTCTGGCCATAAGACCACAAATTCAAGTCTCTATCTCTTCTTACTTTGAAACTTAACAATATCGCTACTTCATGATTCCAAGAAGAATCAAACTTCGAACATTTAAGTCATGCGATCATCTGGCTGCTTTTTGAGTAATAACTTGAAATTCAGTAGCTTAAATTTCTGGATTTAGTAGCACGTTAGATTGTAGTTGGGTACAGATGATTAATACTCCTAAATTGGGACGAAGCATTTGTTCGATCCAGTTTAGTACGTGCTACATTTCATTTCATGTCATTAAATCGGAACGTATTCTGTGATTATTTACAGAATATAACCTGTTTATTTAAATTCAATGAATACTTCAAATATCATACAATTACTTCAGAATCATCGACTATCTAATATTCATGAGTAAGATATTGACGCTAACTAATTCTGTAAACATAGCTCTTATTAACTTGAAAAGAGAAAGAACAAAGCTTTATTCCTCTAATACACAATCTCTAAGCCTTCATAAATGATGCGTTTATTAAAAACTTAAAACCTAACTTTTAGTCAGGAAGAAGTCACAAAAAAGGAAAACTGTTACGAAAAGCGTTCATGTTTCTTTTTACAAAATGTTACAAATTTAAACAATCAATATAACTTTACAGCATTGAGTTATTATGTATTCGAAGTTTTTAGATCATCTTGTGAATTTATTGTAAGACTTCGACTAATAGCTGGATTTGAATCAAGTGTAATAGTAACAGGTCCGTCGTTAATAAGACTGACATCCATCATTGCGCCGAAAATTCCATCTTTAAGAAAAAAGAATATAATTAGAGAATGTCAAGAAATAAAATAATGTTTTTTTCGGTTTCTAGTGAAACAAAGTGTGGTGTTAATAAATACATTACATTTCGGGAATAATTAACAAATGCAAATCCAGACTAAAATGTACTAGATATCAGAGATACTAGTAGCCTATCTGAAGGTAATAAGAGTTCACAGTAAGATAAGTTTTGTGAACAATCTGGGAGAAATATATTTGGATCGAAGGGTTGTTTTTTTATAATTATCCCATAATCATGACAAAATGTTATTGTGGACACTTTCCGAAATACAGTATATAGTACTAGTTGGATTCGTTATATCAGTTAGTATAACATTTAAACCTTAATCTGGAAGTCCCTGGTTGACATCACCTTGTAATTGAAGGATATTTTAAAATTTCAGTCATCCTCATCATAGCTAGTATCATTAGAAATAAACGATCTAAAGTTACTGTGATGACTGTAAAATGTGAAAGCCATGAGTGTAATTCAGTCTGAGTTGAAGTTGTTACAATATTTAGTATATTTCCAGAAGCTTGTGGACGATTAAGGCAACCTAAAAACCCTTTAAATAAGCTTGATTTTATGTACATGGGTCAACCCTGGAGTAAGACTTTTACTTATATTCCACATCTTTTCTCTATTATTCGAGTTAACGGATGAAAGTTGTCTGAGTATATAAAAAGGAAGGGCTCAAACGTCAATAACAACTGTTCAAGTAGAGTAATTATCAATGTGATGTCATTTCACGATGGGTTATTACCTTTGGCATTATATAAAGTCCTTAAAAGGTTATTTTGGTATTTGCTAATTGTTGTTTTCCAATATATACAATCATCAATCAACCGAGATTAGTAAACCAATGAATGACGGCTCAAAGGTCTCAAGGTTACCACCTGACAGTTTTCAGTCCTATTGCCAACAGGAATCTGCATTGCACTGCACTGAAGAGTCCGATTTTAAGATAAAATAACTTTTCATTGATCCTTAATTTTTAATGATTTTCTAATTATAGTTAATCTAGTCACTTGGTATTGTTTTACTTAAATCTTCCAATTGATGTTTAACACTGCAATTGATCAGTCTGTAACTGAGTGGATAACGCAATGGAATTTATAGCGAATGGTACTGGGTTCGAGTCCCAGATTGAACATCAACTCTGAGATGCAGGTACATTCAATAGACGAATCCCAAACAGGATGAAACGCTCATCCTAGATTTTACTGTTAGCCACTATCCATCTTTGCTTATAGTTAATCTATGGTTTAACTTATACATATTTACTAGAAATGAATAATACAAATAGAAAGGAAATTTTATTTTAGCTCTTTTAATTACCTTTAACTTTATCTTCATTATAATTCTTCTTTAATTGATTAATTAACTGTGAATAAATCTCTTTCGATAATTTCGGATCCATAGCATAATGAAAATCTAATTTATTACCTTTTAATTCACTATATAATGTGAACTGAAATGAAACAAAGATGAAAAATTATTCCTTTTTCTTTCTAATAAAAAATTGCTTTTAAGAAATGTAAATATTTGTACAAATGGAACGTATATTTAAGTAATATGTATAAATAGCAAGAAAAGAAAAACAAAACAAATTTAGATATTTCATATATAACATATGCTAAAATTTCAATAGTAGTTCTATTATTTAAGAGACAAAAAGATAATGAGTATAATTTGAGAACATTTTGACAATATAAATTGACTGTTAGTGATAGTATTTATGAAGCTCTAATAGTTAAGATCTAATCGATTGGAAATGGAATAAGCTAAATAGTCAATATTGATTAGTTGTTTATAATATATAATCTTTTTTTTCTATTGTTATACAATAAGCAAAACCTATTTTTCTGGTTAGCGGTCTTGTCATTGTTTTCAAATTACCATCATCATTTAATTATCACTTTGTACGAATAGAATATCATCAATATTCTTTCCTTTCATTTAAATAATCAAAAATCTTTCTATAAAACCATAAAACCCTATTCCATAGAAAAAAAGAAGTAGAAGAACAGTCAATAAAATGAATGTAGCAGTAATACAAAAAAAGCGATCCTATACATATGCATTCGTAATTAAACAATAAATATTATCTAATATATGCAAGATAATGATACTAAAATTAGTTGCACAGATCTATGTAAGATAAGGAGGATTATAAATATCAAGTATTTACTTGAAAGTAACTATTATCATTTGCTCACTATTGACTAGTTTCGAGAGGTTATTCTCGGAGTTCTAGTGAGAAGACGTGATCAGTGGAGTTCAACTGTGTCGAGTGTGAGGTAGTTTTACGCCTCGAGAACAATGGAAGATAGTCGGGCAATATTGTGAATTGGTTGAAGTTAGACATTAACAACGTTGGATGCCGATTCCCTTGTTTAGGGATTAAGCATTCGCGAAGGTCATGACCAAAGGTCATGTGTCTGAGTCTCACGTGCGCCGTCATGGATGTGCACTGCTGAGGACTCCTACACTAGGACGAAACGACCGTCTAGTGTTTATACGTTTTCAATAGTCGTTTGACAACGATCGTTTCATAATTTAAATTCAAAACAAATAATCACTGATATAGATACATGGGATTCGGTTAGAAAATGTAATCTTGTAAAGCAAGTAACAATCAAAATAACAGGGATTAATTTCAAAAATGAAACTAATAAATCCACATTTAACAACGGGTACAATACTTTAAAACAATCCGATGTACACACCAAAGACATAAAAAATTACTATAAGAGCTATACTCTTGAGAGCGTTATTTTTAAAATTTAATTTATTAATAGGTGTAAGTGAATATGTTATATCCTGATGAGAATAATGAATGGTAACTGTTGGGATCTATTTATGCACAAATACTATACGTATACTTTTATCGTATAATTGTTAAATAACTAAACTATTCATATTCGTGTTCCTCTTAATATGAGCTTTATTTTGACCTATGAACTGTTATTATACGATCTACCATTCTTGAATTATTCCCTGTCTATCAATTACTATCTCCCTTATTCACAACCACATTTGGCTAATTCTTGTACAAATGTTGTTCCCTATTTTATGGTACGATGTGGTTTGTTTGATTGGTATATAAATAGAGTATGTTTGAAATATAATGACTCATATTGAAGAGGCTGAGACTGGCGTTCTCAACTTAACAGGCTGCGCTAGGCGGAAAGCAGGATCAATTAGGACTCTAGACTGCTCGTACGGGTTTTATGCATCATTGGTCCGGCCGATAATTCACTGTTCTGTAATTGGCGGTATCATTACATTATACATTAATAGGACACAGGGTATAAGTTATAGCAGAATAGAAAATAATGAAAAACAAACATTGAAAATAAATAAAAAAGTATCAAATTATATGAGCATTAAAACAGAACCAATTTTCCACCAACGATATGTCTGTATAATAGACTAGTACTTTAAAAAAATTAGATAACACTATTTCTATCGAATATAAAAAGACATGAATCGGATTTTCAAATGCTCAAATATTATGATTTTTTAAACAAATAAATCACTTATCAGTGATCTTTGGTGACTGAAGATGGTTGGCAGGATACTCTAGGCGTAGATTTTGCACTAGTTAGCATATTTCAGTGAAACGTACATGAAATTTTAATGGAAGGGAAATTCGAACCTGTATCATCCAACCTCACAGCTCGAGATGTTACCACTGAGTTGTTCGGGCTGCAACTAACCGCCTAAATGATCAAGATATTTGAGATAGGTTGGTTACAAAATAGTGGTCAACGTTATGTTTATCCAGTCCTAAAGATCAAGTTACATTGTGACAATTAGCCTAAGTGACTTGATATAACGTTGAGTCGTTCAGTGGTTGGAGGCAGTCAAAAGTAAAATTTCAGTCACTGGTTTCCAGGTCGGTCTTAACAATAAAGTTAGTAAAAGCTGAATGTATGAAAAATATAGTTGAACAATTAACTACAGAAAAATGCCTTCAATCATATTAACTGCAATCGATATTACTTCACAAATTTCACTCTGGCAAGATAATATCGTATCAAAACATCTGTCTTGGATTAATTTTGATTTGGTTATTTATTCTCTGAAGAGGTGGCTTACACTAAGTCACAAAACGTCAGATAATCTAATTCTTCTACTCATTGGGATATTACAAATACATTATTTATTTATAACAATCTACCCGATGCTCAATTTATTCGAAATTATCAAGTCAAACCTTGGTAATGATACCTACATCTGTCTAATTATCTAGTCATGTGCCAATTTTTGTGCCTACTATCATATAAACACCATCTTTAGCATAACAGTACCAAGATAAATCAGGCAAGCGATTTCCAATAATCAGTCCAAAAATTTCATATATATATATATTGACATTCCATTGTATTAGAACCAGAAATTCAGCGTAAAAGCTTACACTACTTAACCAACCTTTTAAGTAGGTTGAGTATACGGACTGAAGTATTAGGAAATGACCATGAACGTGGATCCAGTCCTGTAAAGTAAATAAGTCTCGAGAAATGTTTGTTATAGATTAATATTTTATGATATGATGATGAACAGGTTTTGAATTGTTAGATGAACGAATGTAATGCCACTCATTTGACGTGCAACAGTACGATGTAGCAGAAAAGTAGCAGCTTACGAAATTAAAATGAACAGATATAAGATGGTTTTCTACTATGATAATATCCATATATACACGATACTAGCTTCAAAAATAGGCGCAGTTAAAAATTAATTGAGACATAAGAGAATGGAAGACAGGGAATTTGAAGATCACTCAAATGTCAATGAAGTTAAGACCTGAATACTAGGTTTAATTTTCTCTCACTACGATTTAAACAAAAAGAAAAGTTGATGAAATCAAACATGAAACATTAAATAATAAAAATTTTAGTCCTCTGTAGAGACTTCATTGTGGACATTAGTGCTAAAAACACACTAACACAATCATTTGAACTAAGAAACTGTAAGGGATTTCAAAAATCAGTGTATACTGAAACAATTATTAAATACTTATGCTGAATACCTGAGCAGCAATATGTGAAAATGATATGAGAATTAGTTTAAAAAAACAAAATTCCTTACCTGACTAACACAAAGAATTTCCAGATTTAAATCTTTTACACTTTTATCCCAACGTCTTATGCCATCTTGAGATGGAAATAATCGAATGTTCAGTATTTTTCTAACCCTGTAAATATTGAAAGCCAGAAAGGAATTTTATCCTACTCCCTAAAAAAACGTACTAAATGTTATTGGCAAGGCAAAAAGATAATGAACGGTTTTGTTACGAAACCACAGGTGGAATGAAATTTATAAAAATTAGCCTGAAACACGAGACATTTTGAGTTTTTAAATAAAGTTGGAGAAAGAGACTGACCAATTGCAGTTTTTAACGTCAAGAACGGGCAGACTCAAACCCTCACAATTAATGTAAAGATACCTATCAGTTTAATAAACGTTAAAAAATCGATGATATATAGAGAAATAGATAAATAAAGATAAGATAAACTTTCTCAGTATGTCAGATGTTTTGATGCCGTTCCGTTTTTGGTTTGTTAAGAGCGCAGGAGAGAGGACGAATTCGTATTTCTTGGGGATTTAATTATTTTACACCTAATGGTTGAAATTTAAATTCATTACAATATGTTATTAATGTAACAGATGTTCGTATATCTATGTATTTATTTGGAGAAACATGGAAACTTGTGTAGATAAACAATTATCCTGCTTTCCACGTTGACTATTTTAGTGCTATTTGTAGATAGTTTGTGTGATTTTATTGAAATGATGAATATGCATAGCTTAAATAAACACTTTTCATGGTAATGCGTACTCTGAGTTAAATAGTTGAATTCCAAAGCTTTCAATGTCGTTCTGGACAGTCATTAATGCCTCCTTCAAATTATTCCACAAGCACCACTCAGTCTGTTCTGACTTATTTTTCTGTGACCGATTATTTATGTAAAGTTTTTTATCTTCTCATAACCTAGTACATTCGGAAAGTTTTGTTCAGTTGATACACTTGAATGGTTGATCTTTACCGTATGAATTGATAAGCCAAATCTATAACATATCAACTGATTGGAGATTCGCCAGTATGCCATACTTCTAGAAATCTTCTGGAAGGTTTAGAGTCCTTTGAAAACATAACTTTGACATTTCCCTAATCAAATCTGTGTTTTAAGTTATCTGAATGAATACACGCGGTCGATTGATTGATTGGCAAACTGTGTAGATATGTTGTAGAAAATCTAAGGTGAATAAATCTGTCATGAAAATACATTTATCCAGTGACTAACTTTAGAAAAATAATATCCTTAAATCATATAAGTAAATATTTTGACTCAATGCACGAAAAAAACAGTAGGTTGACTGTTAAAAAAAAATTTTGACTCGTTTGTGAGTTGACTTATTGTCAGCAACATAGTGACACAATTTACTCAAAACGTTTCAAACGTCTTATTCAATTAACAACAAAGTGATGAGGATACACAGAATAAAATGAATACATAAAATAAATGTTATCATACATATACTCCATATCATTTTCTGTATCTCGTCGTGATAAGCCAATAAGAACAAGTATTCCACGACCGATTTGACTGATAATTGAATCATTTACTAAATTATAAAGAAATTGAAGAATTACTAACTTTCTATTTAGTCAGAAATACAACTGGATAGAATGCACTGATTTTGTATTTCTAACTTATTAACTTTTGCTTTATTAGAGTAAGAGGTTTGTGGAGATTTTCCAAGTTTATAATTAATATCGCGTTAGTTAGACAACCGTTAAGAACCAGTGGGTACCGGACAGTTGTTTCATCCACGTAAGTGATTCCTCACAATTCCACAAGGAATCGAATCCAGGACCTTCAGGTCTCACCTAGGGTGTAACTTTTGTACCAATGAGCCATCATCCAATGGTTTACATTTCTGACCTCACACAATTTGTGACATTGTACGATCATCCAATCGCCCAGTCTCATTAGTGAATCAGTGTCAATTCTGATTCAGTTGACTTCGATAGAAACCAATCTCAGAACCGTAAACAAGTGACCACAAGGTGGGAATTATTAATTGCTTCAATGTTTTGTGTAAATTTGGATGACCTTGTAAAAGCCTTCGTTGAGGATTAGCGTTGACTGAAAATTATTGAAAAGAAAGTAGTATCGGATACCTTTTTCTTTACAGATTTGGATGTCTGTGCTACCAAGTACGATTTCTATTCATAACGTAAACTAACTTCTAAATATATAAAATCTCTACAGAATATCAAAGCAAATTATCAATTAAACATACAATAATAATATATAATTAGGACAATAATAAAATACGATAATCTAAAGAAGATAAATTATCACATCGCACATAATACGAAATCTTTACTTATAAAAGAAATTAACAACATACCACTAACAGATGCTTGTTTAACTCGTTGCACCACAGCACGCATTGCATGCAAAGAATAATATCTAAATAGATTTTTCAGAAAATAAGGGGAAATATCATTTTATGATATTATATTACTTACCTGCTAATAATTAGCAAAGATATATTTTAGTAAATAGTATATTCCTCTAGGTTTTGTATGTAAACACCGAACAACTACGGAAAAATAAACAAAGGTTGGTTAGATGGAACTCCGTAAGTTGAGCCAGTTAGAAACGATCAGGGAAAGATATAATAATCAATTATATTTATTAATCTGCTGATCATTGATACTTATATTACATAGATTGTAGGGAGGATGTTCTCTGAAATTTGAACGAATTACCTTAGGATAAATTATATTCCTAATTTTGAATAGTATCTATTAGTTAACGAATGCAATCTATTCACTTCGTCAAATATAATAAAATGATTATGAATTATTTTTGATTTGTGAATGAGAAAGTCCATTCAAAAAAGGAAAATATCACATATAATCTAATATCCTTTACTAATGATAGTATGGAATATAATCTAATGTTATAACAAAGAACTATAATTCAAACAATTGTACAAGATCCTTCCAAGTTGAATTTCACTATGATATGAATTTATACATTCAACAAAATATAAAAATCTTCTAAGTTGTCAATTAGCCTAATTTCAAGGTATCCTGAAAATGTTTAACAATAATTATTTAAATAGAAATAACAGATGAATGATAAGAGTTTGGTTCAATAAATAAATGATAGATTGCTTCTCGTCGGAAAGACAAATCGATCAGTTTTTGTTTGCTTTAAGTAATATTTGTCAGAAAGAACGCTCACTTGTATTTGTTTATAAAAAACATTGTCAAAACGTTTTGAGTACTAATCTTTTCTCAGACTTGAGATTGTTAAACCAGGTTCTTGTAAGCTTACCAAGTCAAGATAACGGTTGGAAGTCAGGATTTCGGGTTTAACACTTTGAATATCCATCAGTATATAGTATCTCTAGCCTGAAATAAACTGTTTTACCCTTATAGATTCTGGTCCGCCTCACCAATAATAAGTCAAAGAAATTATCTACAAATGATCTACTGAAAACCTAAGCTATCTGCAATTTGTATTCGAAATGTCTGAACAAGCAACTTAATGATCATAAGAATGAACTATAACCATACTTATAAAGTTACACTGTAGATTACATTGACGATCATTAATCTTAGACAGTTGAGAAAATATATTAAAGTAAATTATTTGCGTTAAGAGAAATAGTGACAGTTTATATATATATAACTTTCGTGAGCAGCGATGAGTTAGTGCCCCAAGTACTCAATGTTCAACAAATGAAATGAAGGTTTGAACCATGTTTTATCTAACTCGGTTCAACCAATAGGATAACGTCAATAACGCTTGCACATATATACGTACAATAAATTATGGCCCAAACTTTGAGTACACAAGCACGTAATCAACAAATGATCGACATTTAACGAACTACTTAAAATTTCAATTAAATCCCTTCTCAACAAATTAGATTTTCTCATTAGATTTGTACAGTGAAAAACAAAGAAATACAAGCATAACTAAATTTAAAAGGTTTTATTTATTTGATATTGGTTTTGTACAATGAAATAATACAAATATATGTGGGTAAAAAAAATAGCCAGTCACTTAGTCAATCAACTGGTATATACGAAATTAGATAAATTGTTTAAAATATTCCTTGCTTCGTTGAAATGTACTGATTTGTTAGGACCTTTTGGTGGCCAAACAGATTTTAAACGATTCACTACTGATGACATATCACGTAGGCACTTAGTTATGACAACATCATCATCGCCATCATTATTTATATAATTATTATTGTCAACATTAAAACAACTACTTGAAGAAATTCGATCCAATCGGGGTGAGTGGACGGTATGTTTAGTTAGATTTATTGAATCAATGCTCTATATGAAGTAAAATAAGAAATATAAAGACAAAATCAGGTCGAAGTGAATGACAATGACAATAACTAAAGTTTTGCATTCTGTAAAGAGAAAAAAACAACTCCTTAGGTAATGCAAAAATGTCTTATCGGTTGTATAACTATGTTTTCTTTTTATGGACTAGGCTTTTAGCACATTTCTGCTAAAAGAAAAAATAAACCTATCAGACTGAAATAGTTTCGATACAAGTTGAACTAAGCTTTTTCGAGAAATAAATTCACCAGTTGACTTATTCTGACAGTTCGAAATTATTCAGTTAGTGTTTTTTTCTCACATTATATCATTAGAAGTAGAAAGGCAATAAAATACTTCATACGAATAACCAAATAAGTTACTTATGGAATTCTGACTTACGTCTGTCTAGTTTACTTCATCTATATAGTTATCTACCATTTTTTAAAACTTCGAACAAGATTTTATTTAAGCTGTGACTTTCAGGTAACAGGTTACATGTTCGAACCCCGCCTCGTGAAACTTAGTTTATGTTTCTGATTTTAAATGAAGTAATGTGTTGGGTTTATTTCATAGGTAACATTACTTATAGGAATGGTGCTACATCTAGTTGATGAGTCGGAAATGAGTTGCTTCCAAATGAAAAACAATGTTGCATTGCTAACACTGATAATATTCAAGTATTTGCACAAAAGGTTATTACATTGAATATCATTAAAAACTGAAGGGCATAGCTGTTTCATTCAAGTAAGGGATTTTTGGAATAATGATTAATGGTTCGTGTGTTTGCTATCATTCTGTCACAAAGGAAGTCATTTTGTGAAAAAAATTCATCTACAAATTAACCTAATATCTAAATTAAACTTAATAGTTTAAATTTTTATCAACACATATGACGAATAACAACAATACCTTTTAAAAAGAAATAACTAGTTGATGACAGTGTCTGTCTTCGAAAGGAGTACCTGAGAAATACATAAACCTTGTGAGGGCTCTTTACTCGAACATTACTAGTCGAGCCAGAGCTTATGACGAACAGTCATCTCCTTTTGCAACCACAAGTGGTGTCCGACAAGGCTGTCCACTATCTCCATTTCTGTTCAACTTCATTAAAGACATACTGCTGTATATAATGTCCTCGTCGACTGAATTTTCGGGCATTGATCTCCTACCAGGAGGTCCACTACTCGACTTAGAATACGCAGATGATATAGTCCTGTTTAGTGAAGACGATGATAAGACGCAGTATTTCGGTAGCACTAAGCGTTTCTCCCCCTCCAAATGAAAGCTGTTGCTTCAGGACTGGCCCGCGTAAACACCTGAAATAAGGATAGGGAGTGAAGTAGTCGAACGTGTCGACAACTTCACTCGTCTTAGATATCTGATCATCCCTAATGGGTTGATTTCTGACGAAATCTCCACACGGATTCAAAAACATCGTTTGGCTTTTGCCTAAATACGTCACCTATGGAGAGGGTGAGATATACGTCCATCAATTAAGGGTCAAATATACTGAACAGCAGTTCGTTCTGTTCTACTTTACGGCTGTGAAACGTGGCCATTAAGAAGAAAGGATACTCGTAAATTACTAATAGTTGATCACAGATGTATTAGAAATATTGCCAGCATCTACTGGGATCACCGGGTAAGTTATAGTGGGGTTAGACGCACACTATTAGGGAATGGTGGTAAGTCAGTTGATGAAGTCATGAATCTTCATCGACTGAGATGGTTGGGCCATGTATTAAACATGCCAAATCACCGACTACCACAACGCGCAATGCTCACTAGTGTTCGAGACAGGTAGAAGAAAGTTAGGGGTGGCCAAGCCAAAACGTCGCATCAGTCCTTGAAGGCACTAACTTCTGGTCTGAACCATGTTGGTAGATGCAAACTACTTGGTTGGGGTTCACGCGACTATCGTAACCAATGGTTGGATGGTTGGATATTGCCCTGGAGCTTTTAAACATTTGATCGATAAGTTCATCAATCGACTATGTGCGTGGGTGGTAGGGAATGCCCACGCATACACCTGCATACAAGCTCCACAAAGATAAAATTACAAACTATGAGTTTTTGGGGATCTATCGTCCTCAATAATATGTGCCTGATCCTACATTGTAGATGACTGACTGACTACCAGTTGATAGAGATGAGAATCCCAACTCGATTAAATAAATAAGCAGATATAATTAAATAGAAAAGACAGAAAAGTATTACCTTTCGCAAGGATTTGAAAATATCTTCTGCAATCTGATCAACTTGGACTTTCGACTCAAAATGATTAATATTAACCTTTAGTTGTTCAAACTGTTTCCCAAAATAAAATAAAAAACACAAGTCAAAATGTTAATAATATTTTCGTAATGTATAATATGCTATCACTATTATTACTATTTTAAAGTTGAATAATGTCTAACAATGTAGTGCGAGAGCACGTTTGTTTCTGCTTAGGACTAGCCAGAAAAAAGGTACTTGCATCTCAGTGTTAACGTTCGTAATGGGACTCTAACTCAGTACACCTTTAGTTTCGAAAAATCAACGCAATATTTGCTTGGTTAGTGGATTTAGATGGCTGATAGATTGTACAACAGATACGAATTTTGTTTATAAGAGCTTATGTTTTCACGTTGTTGATGTTAATAGAACCGGATTAATTGGAGTCGTTAACACCAACAACGCGAAAACACTCACCCTTATAAATATTACTAATATTATTTGAAAAGGCTTTTCATTACAGAATTACTGGGAAACATAGAGCACTAGAGAGCTGTTTCTTGTCAGTCTGAGACTTCTACAGAGTATTCACACGAGACAATTAACAGGAGTAGTTCTACACTTTCATGATTAGAATAACCACTATGGTTATGAATGGAAAGAAGTTTAGTTATCCCATAAAAGTTAAGTAGTCGATTGATAGTTCTTTTATTTATCTCAACACCAAGGCGATACAGCGACCAGTATGAATGGACACTTGAAACATTTGATAAAAGAGTTCTGAAGCGCTTTTTTATAGACTGTGCAATGAGACAAAACTAACTAGCTTCATAATCTAAAACACATAACCGAGAATAGATGATAAACTGATGTTAAGAATT